TCTCGCATTATTGGCATCCTCAACGCACCCAAAGTCGTATTTTTTTTAAATGTGACGTGCAAGCTGAAAGTGGGAAAGTGCCTCGGGAAAAGGGGTTGGTTTGACCTCCTGGGGCGGGAGGTCTGGATGTGGAAGCATCGCGCCCTTTTCATTTACTTCCCCCCCAAAAAGGAGTGGCATCATCATGAACGCATGTGGCACGTAGATGAATGGCGCATGAGGATGACGTGATTGCTGTTGCTTTAGTAGTAGTAGTAGTAGTAGTAGTAGTAGTAGTAGTAGTAGTAGTAGTAGTAGTAGTAGTCGTAGTAGTAGCAGTAGTAGTAGTAGTAGTCGTAGTAGTAGTAGTAGTAGTAGTAGTAGTAGTAGTAGTAGTCGTAGTAGTAGTAGTAGTAGTAGTAGTAGTAGTAGTAGTAGTAGTAGTAGTAGTAGTAGTAGTAGTAGTAGTAGTAGTAGTAGTAGTAGTAGTAGTAGTAGTAGTAGTAGTAGTAGTAGTAGTAGTCGCATCAATGACAGTAGTAGTCGTAGTAGTAGTAGCAGGAGTGATCGTAGTCGTAGTAGCAGTAGCAGTAGTAGAAGTAGCAGTAGTAGTAGTAGTAGTAGTAGTAGTAGCAGTAGTAGTAGTAGTAGTAGTAGTAGTAGTAGTAGTAGTAGTAGTGGTAATAGTTGTAGTAGTAGTAGTCGGTCGTGTTGCTATAATTAGTAGTAGTCGTATTAGTAGTAGTAGTAGTAGTAGTAGTAGTAGTAGTAGTAGTAGTAGTAGTAGGAGTAGTAGTAGTAGTAGTAGTCGTCGTAGTTGTTGTTGCTGTTGTTGCTGCTAAATTCTCGTATCTAATGAACAAATACTTTTGACCCCCCGGTAACCATTGTGCTTGTTCAATTAAAGTGCTTCTCCTGAGGACCGCACCTTTTTCACAGGGGACACTGTGGGGTTACGAGGCTGTGTTGTTGGCCCCCTGTTTACAACAACAGCAACACTTGCTCCCGATTGATACTTCCTCACAATTTATCACCAAATTGCGCTTTCGCACCGGATTTCCTCACAAGTTATACAGCCAATCGCGCTCTTGCGTGGGACTTCCTCGCAATCTATTCAGACGCCGCGCCCTCGAAACGCAGGCATCACGCTCTCGCTTGGGCTTTTTCCAGCGATGTATTTTTGGATCGCGCTATCGCTCGAGACTTCTTCGCGATGTTCGCAGAACGCACGCCTCAGCAACGCCTGCTCGACCTGGCCGCCGGGGCCCGCCTACCCGACCCGCCCGTCAGGGCTTACCCGCCCGATCAACCCGTGTTGTTCTGCCGAGAGTTTTCTGTTCCGAGCCGTCGTCTTGCTACTCTCTCTCTCGTGTTCAATCGTCGTCCACCCCCCCTTGTCGCTTCCCTTCATCCGTTCTCTCTTTCCCTGCCTGAGGGGCTGCACGAAATATAGGTTGCAGGCAAGACAGATATACCCCGATGGGGGTACGACCGAAAACGAAGGGGGCGGGTATCGAAGGTGTGGGGTATAAGTGTTGACTGGCACGTCAGCAGATTAGAGCGAACAGTTATTCCGTGGTTGTTGCTGTTTTTTTGTTAAATTCACACTTCTAAAGAGTAGTTGTTGTTCTTCCCTCCGCACGCTAGCCATCGTACGTTTCAATTAAAGTGCTTCCCTTTCGGCTTGCACCTGGTTGTTTCTATAAGGGACAGCGAAGTGTCACCATAATGGAGTTTGGGTCCGGAATAAAACAACAACAACAACACTAATCGTTTTAATATTGTTTGCTCTTATCTGCTCGAGTGCAATTCAATACGTATATCCCAAGCCCTCGGTACCCGCCCCCTTCATCTGCGATAGTACCGGGTATACCTTTCTCACCTGCAGCCCCTCAGGCAGGGGGGAAACGAGGACGGATGGAAGGAAAGAGCCAGGGGGAGGGAGGAGGATGGAGCACGAGATAGAGTAGCCAGAGGGGGGGCCACGAGTAGAAAACAAGTGGCAGAACCAGACGGGCAGATCGGGCGGGTAGACCCAAACGGGCGGGTCGTGAAGGCGATCCTAGGCGGCCAGGTTGATCAGGCGGGTTGCTGAAGCGGGCGTCTTGCATGAAGCACGAGGAAGTCTCGCGCGATAGCTCGGGTCATTGGAAAAGCCCAGCGGAGAGTGCGATTCCTGCGTTTCGAGGGCGCGGCGTCTGAAGACATTGCAACGAGGTGCCGCTCGAGAGCGCGATTCCTATATCAATTGCGAAGACGTCCCGCGCGAAAGCGCGATATGGGAAGATACTGTGAGGAAGTATCCAGCGAGAGCCGTTGTCGCTGTATCTCTGGGGCCAGGTGCCCAGTTTGATGACCCTTCTCTTTCCCTTGTGAAAAAAAAGACCGGGTGCGAGCCCCGGGAGGAGCATTTTAGATGAACTAATGCTGTGTGCCCTTAATGGGGGTTCTCAGCAATAGTGATTCTTTGGAAGTGAGAATTCAACAACGGCTCCCGCCTGATATTTCCCAATTATTTATTCCCGAATCGCGCTCCTGCGCAGGACGTCATCACAGTTTGTGCAGGAATCACCCTCTTGCTGTGGATCTCACGATTAAGGCGGAGGGCGCTATCGCTCGAGACTTCCTCGCGATTCATGCAGGACGCGCGCTTCAGCAACCCGCCTGCTCGATCTGGCCGCCGGGGCCCGCCTTCCCGACCCGCCCGTTAGGGATTACCCGCCCGATCTGCCCGTCTGGTCTGCCACATGCTGCTCCTTGCCCACCTCTTGCGAATTGTCCCTCGAGTTTTATCCTCTTCACTCCCCCGTGTCCATTTCTTCTATCCGTCCTCTCTTCCCCTGCCTTCGGGGCTGCATGAAATACACGTTGTAGGCAATATATATATATATATAGAGAGAGAGAGAGAGAGAGAGAGAGCGAGAGAGAGAGAGATACCCCCAGGGGGTACGTTCGTAGACGACGGTGGCGGGTACGGGGGTTCAGGATACACGTGTTGAGTGGCATGCGAGCATATAGGATTGAACAGCCTTAAATTGATGATTGTTGTTGCCGTTGATATCCATGTGCATGTTTTTTTTTCTCGTGGTATTGTTAGTTTTCCCGTTTCTGCGTCAACAGTTAGCAAGTGGAAAGAACCGTGTGCCCGCGCCCGAGCGGGACCGCGTCGTCAATCTTTTGCAGATGAATCAATTTATATTGAGTTCGTTTGCCCACTCCGCCAGCCCGTACTGTGCCATCTCAGGCGTTTGCCTGCGCTCTCGTGGCCTCTTGGAGGCCGTTTGGGGGCCTCTTGCAGCCTCTTTTTGGGTTTCTTGGCGGTATTTCTGGGATCTCCTGGGGCGTCACGGGGGCCTCTTGGGGGCCTCTTGGGGGTCCCTTGGGGCCTCTCGGGGGCCTATTGCGGGAGGCCATCTTGGAGGCCTCTGGGACTGTCTTGGGGCCCTCTGGGACCGTTTGCGCTCTCTTAGGCCTCTTGGGCCAAGTTGGGGCGATCCTGGAAGCCTCCTGGGCCGTCTGACAGCCCCGATAAGCCGAAAAGGCGAGATCACCCAAAACCTTCGAGAACTTATAGGAAATCACTAACTTCTGCCTCTGTGGAGCGCTTGGGAGCAATCTTGGGGCGTCTCTTGGAGCCCTCTTGGGGCGTCTTGGAGGCGCTCTGGACTGCCTGGGGGCCATCTTTGCTTGGATCGATCTTACATTGGAGGCCACTTGAAGCGTTCCTGGAGCGCTCTTGGGAGCCTGCTGGGACCTGGCCAGAACCTTGCCGGGGTACTTGCCGTCTGTGTACCCCCAAGGGGCGGCCCCGCGCGCGCAATCTAGAAATACCGTTAACCAGTAGATCAATCAATTCATATCTCTAGAAGGGAGTACTCAGCAATCACACTTCCGTGCTGATTCTTTCATGACCCGAGGGTGCTCCCTCCCCACCCTTCTCAGAGCAGCGACGACGACGAGCACATGAACTTGCGACGTCGGTGGGCGCCGTCTGTGGCAGCAGCCGCAGACCTCCAACGTCGTGATTTGTTCACGACGCGGATCCCCAGAGGTTTCGACCCTTGCGTTCCCCAGGACCGGCTTCTCATCGCGAGTCGTTGTTTGAAAGCTCCACGGCCCAGTGAGGGCCCCCAGAGGCCGAAAATTGCCAAGGCTTCCCACGAGAGCGTCGCTGGGCGACGACGACGGCGCCATCGGTCACCTCAGCCTTAGACCCCCGACATCGTGATTCTTTCGCAGCGCGAAGCCCCCGAGGTCTCAATCCATCCCCAGGAAAGGCTTTTCCGCCCGATTCGTTTTTTGACGGTCCCAGGGCCCAGCGAGGGCCCCCCAGAGGCCCAAAATTACCAAAATCTTCCCACGAGCGCATCGCTGGACGACGACGACGACGGCGCCATCTGTCGCCTCAGCCCCAGATCTCCGACGTCGTGCTTCTTTCACAACGCGAAGCCTCCGAGGTCTCGATCCATTCCTGGGACCGGTTTTTCATCCCGATTCGATGATTGATGGTCCCAAGGGTCCCAAGGCCCAGTGAGGGCCCCCAGAGGCCGAACATCGCAAACAGCCGCCCGTCATTGTTCTCGTTCGCGACGCAAGCATGTCTGTGGGACACTGGTGAGCGCGTCGCTGGCCGACGACGATGATCGCCGTGGGTGGCCAGGCGACGACGAGAATCGCCGTCGGTGGCCGCAGCTGCGCGCCAACCCCCTGCGAATCTCCGCGGGAATGCGTCTGTAGGGGGTACATAGGGGTTATGCGGATAGCAACGTGGAAAATTTCTGACCTAGTAGTTAACCTGGCTTGTACGCCCGTTGCAAGCGCCCTATAGGGGGAGGGGGTGTAGAGGCCCCGGCGCTGCACGAGGCTCCGCCCACTTAGCACTTTCCTACAGCCTCCCTAATCCATTCAGCGAGCTCTTGCATCCCACTGGTAGGCTGGGCCCGGGCAGATCTAACCCACATTGGCCTCCGCTTAGAGCGCTCCCTGCCCACTCAGCACTCCCGGCGGCGATCCGAGCACAGGCGGACCTCGAGGTGGAGCGCCGGGAGCACAGCAGCCTGGCCGTGCAGCTCAAGGAGGAGATCTCCCTGAAGGAGGCGCCGCGGCCGCCCGCCTGGCAGCGGCGGCGCCTAGGGCGGCGGCGTCCGGCGAGGGCGCAGCGGCGACGGCGAAGGCGAGGGCGCCCAGCGACGACGGCGACGGTGAAGGCGAAGGTTTGTGAGGGTCGAGCAGAAGTTCGCCAGGGTGTACTGGCCAGGCGTTCGGTTCCTTCATGTGGATGCGGTGGGGGCGGTGGAGGCCCTCAGACCTCAGGGGGTTCCTCATCTGATGAGGGCGGCCGTGGTATCAATGGCCAATCCACGGTCGGAGCACAGGGGGGAGGCTGGCCGCCTTCAAGGAGATCTCCTACTCGTGCAAGGCTAATTCACCAGGGGTCACTAACCAAATGTCAGGGTGATGAACACATACCACCCGGCTAGCACATCAAACACAAGACCACGGTGAGGGCATTGGATAAGGAACCTTGAGATGAAGAATCAACCGTCTAGAATAATGGCCTTCCAGATGGGGTCCGAGCACATGGGGTCGGAGGATCGCGCCGCATCGCCGATGCATCGCTGATGCGGCTCGATGTGGATCCCGATTTTCTCCACGGCGACGTCGCCAATGCGTTGCCGACGTCGACGATGCATCGCCAGTACATCGCCGATGCATCGGCGATGCGGCACGATCCTCCGAACCCATCCAGCATGCCTTTATTTTAGACGGTTTATTCTTCATCTCAGGGTTCCTTATCCAATGCCCTCACCGTAGCCTTGTGTTTGATGTACTAGCCGGGTGGTACAGGCGGCCCGGATTAGTAGGTCGACCCTGCCAGATCAAGGGTACCCTCGTGTCCTGTGTCTCGCGACCCATGCCTCCTGCATTCCTGTGGCAGCGTGGCCCTTCGAAGGGTCTTGTGTTCTCTCGCGTTTCCTCTCCAATCGAGTCCGACTGTATGTGTTCATCACCCTGACATTTGGTGAGTGACCCCTGGTGAATTAGCCTTTCAGTCAACCCGCGCAGCAAAGATGGGCAACCTTCCCGCGGGTACCCTTGCATCCTTGCCTCCTCGGTCCATCCTTCGCCACTTTCGTCGGCCGCGCCCCGCTCGAAAAGCTTCGAAATGGGCGTCCAAGGTCCTTGCATCCTTATCGTGCGTCCTTACTACATACGGGTTGACGGTTCACGAGTAGGAGATCTCCCCGAAGGCGGCCAGCCTCCCCCTTGCGGCGCGTCACCCGGCGGCGGCCTCTGTGGGCCTTCGTCGGGCCGGGGGACCGTCACGAAACGACTCAGGATCGGGCCGAACGAGAGGGGGGGGATAGGGAAAGCGGGGGGGTTACGAAATCTGCTGCGTGCAGCTGGTTTCGGCCCCACCGAGGGGCTCGTTCCTCGATGCATGGGCGTCTCCCGGCGCTGGGAGGCGCCGGGAAAATCCGCTACGTGAGCTGATTCTCACCTCCCCCCTTTGCTATCCCCCCCGTTCGCCCGGCCCGACAGGAGGAAACGCCGGTGCTGGGGAATGGGTCGGGACGTCCAGGGGTCCGCGAAGGCGAAGGCGACGTCGGAGAGTCGAAGAAGCAACGGCAGCATCATCCTAAACCTTCGGAGCTCCGCGCCATTTTTGTAGGATCTGCGCTGGACCCCCCTGGCGACACCTCCGCCGCCGCTGGCGCGCTCCGCGCACCCCAGGGGGGGGGGCTCAGCTCAGAGCAACGAAATCCGCGCGAATCTCCGGGCCTTCTCTCTTCGGGCGAGGGTTCCGTGGTCCTCGTCGTCGGGAGATCGTGGTCGTCGATCTCGTGGGCGTCGTCGTCGTCGTTTTCTCGTCCTCCGCGTCCGTGCGTCCGCCCCCTCGAAGTCCCGTCCTCGTCCGCATGCCCTGGCGGGCGCAGCTCGGGGAGGAGAGATCTTCCCGATGGGGGCCCCGAGGGGGAGAAGGGGAAGTGGAAATCAGGAGGGAAAAACACAGACACAATTGATCGTCGACCCCCCAGAATATGGGAAAATATGGGAAGTGGGGGGGGAAACAAACACCCAGAAAACATGAAAACGTATGGGGGATCCTGTTATTTGTGTCTATTTATTTGTGTGTCCTAGGGCCCCTTCAGGGAAGGGGAAGGGGGGCATGGGCCACGAGGGGTGGCGCAGGGTGCGTCGACGTTTTGTTCCTGCCGCCGCTGCCCTTCTCCACCCCTCCTCCGTCTTCTTCTTCTGCACACCCTCCACCTCCACCTGCCCCACCCCCGCCCCTTACGTGGCACGGACCATTGATGTCCAGTCGAAGCGTCTACGAGAAAAAGATTGAGGACTCCGACTTAGGCGACAGGGCCTACGTGAGCATGCGACAGCAGTCACCGTATGGCAGAAAGAAGGGCGAGGCGTGCAAGCGAAAAAGATCTCCCCCCCCACTCCAGTCCTTCCTGTACACATGCCGCAGCAGAGGCCCGCACTCCGATTATGACTGGGACTCGCATGGCCCCCCGCGGCTGCAGCGGGTCTCGCGCCTGGCTCGTGTTAGTCCGAGCCTCCCCGTCCGTTCTTCTCCCCAGGGCGCCCCCCTTGGCCGCAGGCGGGCCGCGCTGCGGGCGGTGCGGTGGTCGGCTGGCGCGTGGCCCCGCCGCCGCGCGCCAGGGGATCCTGGATGGAGTGGGATCCTGGATGGAGTGCAGCTCGGAGCGAGGCGGGCGCCGGGGCGGAGCTGGGCTTGTGCGCCGCTGCCCCGTGCCCCCTGGGGAAGAGCTCCGCAGGCTGTGGCACAAGGCTCGCTGGCATCGGAGAGGCACCGTGGAGCCCACGCAGTGGGATCGGGAGGCGAAGGCTGCTGCTGGGGGGCTGGGACGGGTTGACGTGGCGCCGTTCGCCAGTTCCGCAACGTGCGCGCGGAGACGGAGGCCAGCCCGTCGAGGTACGCGGGAAGGGCGGACGGGTGAAGTCAAGCCCGATTCCGACGACCTTGGCTGCTGGCCGCTGACCAGGTGCGAAGTTGGCAGATTCCAGCCCGAGCCCTACGATCTCGGACAGCGCTGAGACCAGCGTATCTTCAGCGCGCGGCCATCTATAAATAATGGCTCGTGCATCTGCCATTCGAGCGTCGTTCTCTGTCGGCCTCGTGCGTCGACCACTCAACTCCACAGACAGTCCGCCTTCTCCCCTGCCAAAGTCGGCCGCCGAGCCTGTCCTGGAACGCGCTCTGGCCAGGACCTCGAGGCGGATCTGGTCCTGGCGACGAGGGCCGTCCGGAAGGAGGCCCAGAAAGGGGCAGACACCCGTAAGTCCTTCCCTCCCCCCTGCTCCAACTGACCCCGCCAGGTTGTGGTCTGCTGGGCTCCGCTAGCCAGCAGAGCCTCGGGAGCGATGGATACAATGAAACAATATGGTTGTCGCCTCGTGCCGGGCCAACCTGCTGGCCAGTGCCTGGTCAGTTCACTGCGGCATTGCGCAAAAAGAAGAGAAAGGATGGGTAGTAGGAGGAGGGAGCTGGAGTGCACTCCAAGGAAGGAAATCGCACCGCGTCCCCATAACTGGCGTTTACTGAACGGCCTTGGGCGTTTACTAAACAGCCTTGCCTTGTTCGATTCTTCTCTTGGGTGCGCTTACTACACGGCTTCGCTTGCCGGGGTGCTTATTATGAGGGTGGATCTTTTGCTCTCTGGCACCAGCAGCTCGTGCGAGAGAACCACGTTGCTGCCCTCCACCAGGCCTGGGGACTGAGTCTCGGGTGGTGCTGGGCACGCATGTTGTCTTTGGGGCGGGGTTGGCCACTGAGCGCCGGCCAGGTGCCTTGGGCTATGGGTCATTCACAGGGGGAGATCCGTTAGCTGCCCTGCCTCCACGGATGCGAAGCGATTCCGCAGTCTGGAAGAGCGCTCGTCGCCGCTGCGCTCCAGCATCCTCTTCCGATGGTCCCCTGTTTCGCCTCTGCCAACTCCGCATCCCTCTTTTGCTACACGAGCGAGCGGATTGCCTCTGCCGCGCCGCGCCAAAAGACATATGTGCCGCCTCTGCGGCAGCCCCGCGAGCTGTTCCCACCTCTCCTCCTTGGCGACCTCCGCCTGCTCGTCCATTTTGCTTTCCTCCACCCGTGGACGACTTGGTTCGTATTGCGGAGCTTTCCGTTCATCCCGGCCCCCCTTTCATTCTTCATTCTTGCCTCCCCGCGCTCTCTTTTTGGTATTCCTTTCTCCCTTTCTCCCTCCCTTCCTCCTCCCACTCTCCATTCCTTCTCCCATCCTCCTTTTCTTCCTCATACTTTCTCCATTTCTCCCTCCCTTCCTCCTCCTCTCCATTTCTCCCTCCCTTTATCCTCCCACACGTTCCATGCGGTCGGAGGAGTTATAACATCGATGTCGGTTCGAGGATGGTACCATAGCACTATTCGTGCCTACGAGGTGTTTTTGTGCATCCTGGGGGGGGGGCACCTTCGAATGTTCTTCAGTTTGGCCGGCAAGCAACCACATGTTCTTGAATAATCTTCTTCTGGCCTGGGTCCGACCGTAATATCTTCATTGTTATTTCCCTCCTTACCGTCCTTCCTTCCCTCCTCATTCCCTGCCCCTTCCCATGTCGGGGTCTCTCCTCATCGCTTCCTGCTCCTTCCTTCTGCTCCTCACCTCCTCCTCTGCCATCCCCTCCGCTTCCTCCCCATCCTACCCCCCCCTTGGTGATGAGGGGGGGAGAGGAGGAAGGGACGGAGGGAGTGGGGCGAAAAGGAGGAGGAGGGAGCGGTAGAGGAGGAGGAGGAGGAGGAGGAGGAGGAGGAGGAGGAGGAGGAGGAGGAGGAAGCGGTAGAGAGAGTTGGCAGGCCCTTCCCTTTGTTGCTTGCAGGAGTGAGGAGGATGATGATGAGGAAAGGGAGGGGCAGGATGCAAGTAAAAGGACGGGGAGGGTGGGGTTGCACGCAAACACGATTATATACAGTTGGCGACACCGCGGCGACGGCAGCGACTACGAGGACGAGGACGCGGACGGCGGCGACGACACGACACAGTCGACGGCGACTACGACTTCAGGACGAGCGCGGCGACACCATGGCGGCGACGACTTCAGGACGAGGGCGAGGATGGCGACGACACCGCGGCGGCGGCGGCGACGACCTGACTGCGATCAGCGGCGACCGCCAGTGCTGCCCCCGCGGCAAGGTCGCCGTGGCCGAGCTGGAGACTCGGCGTTCGGAGAACAAACAGCTGGAGAAGGAGGTGAGCGCACATCCGCCTCGTCCTCCTCATCCTCTCATCCTCCTCCTCGTCTTTCTCCCCCCCCTTCTCTCCTCCTCCTCCTCGGTCCGATCTCCCCTCCTTGCTCGTGGTCTGCCTCGGCCTTCGAGGCCAATGTGCGCGTGCCTGCGCTCTATCGCTTCTTCCACTTAACACTCAGCCCTGGGAAGCAATATGTGCCCTCCCTCGCCAGAGGAACTCATATCGCTTCCAACACCGGGGCCAGAGCGGAAGGGATACCCCCCGCAGATGCCCGCGAGCCGCGCTCTGGGCGGGCAGGCGGAGCAGGATGAGGGCGCCGGCGACGGGTTTCCTGTGGCTCCAGGGGTTTTCCTTCGCCCAGCGCTCAGTGATGGGGGTCCTACCCGAGATGGGTGGAGGGAGAGTTGCGTCAGCTTCGGATGCATGGATCGCGTTCCCCTCGGATATAAGCATGGCCTTTCGATGCTCCTCGTTTGGCTGAGTCCCAGGCGAACGGAGAATGTACTTACATCGTCATGCGTTGTGCAGACGACATCGCCGGCGGGACGCCGCCGCACGTGATTGTTTGTTTGTTCTTGTGCTAACCATCTCGCCGAGGGTAGGGCGGGGGAGTACTGTTTGCTTCGGAGGGTAGCAGCAGCGAGATTGGCGGCGGGGGGTCGAACTCTCGATCATGCTGAGGCCGCGGCCTTAGTTCCCGCTGCCCGTATTGCCCTCAGGATCCCGCTTCGACGGCGCCATCGATCGCTTCTGGAGGCGTAGGCCCTCCGTCAGCTTGTGGTTGGCAGCGTGTCGGAGCCGCTATGAGGCTCATGGGAATGAGCTCGGCATGCAACGCTGTGAATCCTCCGCCTCCTCCTCCTCCTCCTCCTCCTCCTTTTCCTTTTCCTCTTCTCTGGACCTTCCGAGGACTCAGAAAGGCTTCTGGAACAAGGCGATCAGCCCTGGCGTGTTCAGCAGGGCTGTTTGGTGGAGAGGGCGGCGCTGGACGGCCCCCCGTTCATCTTTCATCCCAGGAGCTGGCAGCACGCCACTATGCGGAAGAGGTTGCGAGTACAGACCCTCCGAAAGAGCGCGCTTGTGGCGCATTTCATTCAAAGGGGGGCCCCAGCCTCAAACTACCCCCCCCGCCTCCCTTGGAAAAAGGGGAGGGGCTTCCGAAGCTACCCCCCCTCCCTGCCTTTCCAAGACCTTGGCTAAAGGGGGGGCCCTAGCTAATAGAGGGAGGGGGGGGCTTGGAAGCTACCCTCCCTGACCCCCTTGCCGGGACCAAAGGTCAGCCCGGGCTTTCCTGTCAAATTGGGGGGCTTCGGAAGCTACCCCCCTTTCCTTTCGCAGCTGACATTGGTTTGCCAAGGAGGGGGGGCTTCAAAGCCCCCCCTCTTTTCTTTTTCCGCAGCCCCCAAGGCCAGCCTGGGCTTACCTTTCAAAGAGGGGAGGGGCTTCGGAAGCTGACCCCTCCCTTCCTCTCGCAGCTGAGATTGCCTTGCCAACAGGGGGGGCTTCAAAGCTCCCCCCCCTCCCTCCTTTTCGGGAGCCCACGGTTAGCCCAGGCTTCCTTTTCAAGGGGGGGTGCTTCGGAAGCTACCCCCCCTCCCCCTCCTTGTCGCAGCTGAGATCGGCGATCTGTTGGTTTTGGGTGCCTCTTTGGTTTTCGGCGCCTTCCGCGTTCTTGTTTTTGGCGCTGTTTTGGTGTTCGGCGCCGCCATGGTTTCCGACGATCCTTTGGTATTCGGCGCATCTTTGGTTTTCAGCGCTTCCTCGTCGGTTTGGGGCGCCTTTTTCGGTGTTCGTCGGCTTTTTGGTTTTCGGCGCTCAGTTGGTTTTCGGCACGGGTTGGGTTTCGTTGCTCCTTTGCTTTCGGCGCTCTTTTGGTGTTCGACGTCTGGTTGGTTTTCGGCGCCCTTTTGGTTGTCGTCACTTCTTGGGGGTGTTGGCGGTTCTTGAGGTTTCGGCGTCTCCTTGGTTTTCGGTTTCTTTTGGTTTTCTCAGCTCTTTTGATTTTCAGGGCTCATTCTGCGCCTTCTAGGATTTTGGCGCCTTCTTGGTGTTTGGGTTTTTGTTTTTGCCGATGTGCGCTCTTTGGGATTTTGGCGCGTCTTTGGTTTTCGTCGCCCTTTGGTTTCGGAGCCTTCCTTTAGCCACAGGGGGGGAGGGCTTTCCAAGCCATTCTCTTCCTTTTAGCCGAACAGGGGGGAAGGCGGGGGGGGCTTCCGGCAGGGATCGTCTAAAGGGCGTCTGTGTGTTTTTCGTTTCTGGACCGCTCCAGTATTCGGCGCATCTTCGGTTTTCGTCGTTGCTCAGATTTTCGGCAATCTGTGGATTATTGGGTAATCGTTGGTTTTCGTGGTCCTTTTGGTTTTTGGTGTTCTTGTGGTTGTTGGCGCTTTTTTGTTTCCCGCGGTCTTTTAAATTTCGGCGCCTCTTTGGTTCTCGGCGTCCTGAGGTTTTGTTGGCGCTCTGTCGGTGTTCGGCGAATCGAAGGATTTTGGTGTATAATACGTTTTCGGCGCCCTTTTGTTTTTTGGCGCTCATTTGGTTTTCGGCGCTCCTTTGGTTTTCGGCGCATTTGTAATTTTCTGGCCGTCTTGGTTTGTTATGGTTTCTTAGGTTTTCGGCGGCTCTTGTTGTTTTCGGCGCTCTTTGTATTTGCGGCGCTTCTTAGTTTTTTCGACGGCCTGGTGGTTGTCGGAACAGATTTCGTTTTCGGCGTCCTGTTGTGGCGCCGCTGTGATTGTCGGCGCTCTTTTCAGGTTTCGGCGCCTTTTTGGTTTTCGGCGTTCATTTGACTTTCGATAATTTCGGGTTCTCGGCGCGATTCGTGTTCTCGGTATGCTTTTGGTTTACGGCGCTCCTTTGGTTGTTGCCGCTCGTTTGGTTTTCGGCGCGCCATTGTTTTTCTGCACATCCTTTGAGTGTGGCAACCTGTTGGTTGGCGGCGCCCCTTTGGTTTCCTGCTCGCCTTTGGTCTTCGGCGCTCTCTTGGTTTTCGGCGGCCTTCTGGATTCTGGCGCTCGTTTCTTTGTTGGTGTTTTTTTCGGTGGACACCCCCTGGGGGGCCTGTTTCCTCTGGACACCCCGCGCAGCAACAAGGACACCCCCTCTCTTCCCACTCACATCCTCACTCACTCGCATCACCATCGTCCTCGCCATCACCACTACCACATCATCATCATCACTTACATACCCACTCACATTCCCTCGAACATTCTCGTTCACTCATGATTTACTCACTCACTTCCCCACGATCTCGCGAACTTCTCCTGAGTGGTCTATTCACTCACCCATAGCTACCGCTCACCAGCCAATAGCATCATTTATTATCGCACCACCATCATCACACTCGTCATTACCACGCGCACACACACACACACGTACACCCTCAATCACGCACCCAAACACCCATCATCGTCATCAGCATCGCCTGTGATGCGGGAGCTATCAGCACAATGTCGGACGTCACCATCAGTACCACTACCACCATCATCACTCACACACCCGCGCGCTCATCTTGAGGAGCTCTCAGGCGGGAGCCTGGTCTGTGAGGGAATTGCGAGGAGGTATCAGGCGTCACCCCCCTCCCTGTTGGGCCAGCACTTCATGTTTGAATCCGAGGCGGGCAATCGGAATCCTGTATCTGTCGACGCTTTGGGGTTCCTGAGGCCTGAGCACGGCGGAAGTGTCAGGCGGGAGCTTCGTCCGCGAGCGAATAGCAAGGAATTCTCCGGCGGGAGCCCCCTCCCTGTTTGGCCCGCACTTCCTGTTTGAATCCGAGGCGGGCAATCAGAATCGTGTATCTGTATGTCTGGGCTCCTGAAGCATGACTTTGGCGGAAGTCCCGCGCGGGAGTCTCGTCAGTGAGTGAATAGCGAGGAAATTTCAGTCGGGAGGCCTTTCCTATGGAGCCCGCGCTGTATGTTCGAATCCGAGGCGGGCCATCGAAATCTTGTAATTGTCGTCATTTTTGATTTCGCGCGGCCTGAGCATGGCGGGATTCTCAGGCGGGAGTTTCGTCTGTTGGTGCTTTGCGAGGAAGTCTCATGCTGGAGCCCCCTCCCTGATGGTCCCGCGCTTAACCTTTGAATCCGCGGCGGGTCTTCGGAATCTTGTAATTGTCATCACTTTTGGGCTCCTGAGGCCTGAGTATGGCGGAGGTCTCAGGCGGGAGCTTCGTCTGAGCGAATTGCGAGGATTTCTCAGGCGGGATCCCAACTTTTTTTCTAGAGCCCGCACTTCATGGCGCACGGCTTGAAGCAGTCTCCGATATACCAGGGGATCGCCGAGCTGCTGCGACAGGGCGCCGAAGGCGCGGGCGCGGATTTTGCTGATGCCCAGGCCCAGCGAGCATGAGCTCACGTGGCAGAGCTCGGGGCCGCACGGGGCACGCCTCTCGGGGTTCACCATGGCGCACGCGGTTTACTTCACTTCCATGCTGTCGCAGGGCCAGACGCTGTGCAAGGCCGTCACCATCGACTGAGCGAGAGACGAGGACGCTGGCCGCACAGGCATGGCATGTCGGACGACCAATGGTGGCTGCATCTCTCGTCATGTTCTCCCGTGCCACGCGCGTGCTAAACATGTTGATTTCGCAGCCGCCGCCGCGAGAGTTCCCGGAGCAAGGGCCGCTGGCGTCCTTGCGGAAGGCGCTCCTGGAGTTCGACAATAGAGCCGAGAGCTCCAGGGCAGAGGCGGAGCAGCTCGCGGCAGGGCTGGGCGTCGTGCTGCCTCCCGCCTGAGCGCGGCTTCGCCCCGCTTGAAACCCGCGGGGTTTTCCCAACGGCTTGGTCTCGCGCGCCAGCAGCTTGCGGGGTTGCCCCGACGGCCTGGCCCGTGGGGCTGTCCCAACGGCTGCGCGACGTGGCCATTAGAGAATGCGCCCGTGCTGGCCGAGGCGGCGACGGGGCCGAGGAGAATCGACGTGCGCGCTAACGCCGGGAGGACGGATATGTGCACGAGGAGAACGGGCGGGGTGGCGCTGGGAACGGGGAGATGGAGGAGGA